TCTGCGACGTAATTTTCTGCCAATATTTGTGAGTGAATGGGATCCACTGCCTTAATTTCAGTTGTAAGTGACACATGTGGGCCGTGAATTAAAATAAAAAACTTTCAGTGTGATATCAACTAGAAATACGCGATACTAATAAATTCAAACTACAAGTGCAATATGCAGGCGCTGATTCATAATACAGGCTGGTGGTCGTCGTGTTGCTTCATTTTTCATATGCGACGTATACAACGCATGTAAACGAAATATCTACATGTTCTGATCGTCCATTATTTGAATACCACCGTCAGCGATGTTAGAAATACATATCAATCCAAAAGGATGTGCGTGGTGATACAGACATTTCCTTGTATGTATAAAACCATGTCTTTTCATGAAAACAATCAAATGAAAAGTTGAAAAGATCGATATTGGAAACTAAAGTACATTTGTATTCAAATTAGCACAAATCTTAATTCAAATCTTGAATCTTAAAACATTAATTCACATAACAGTCTAGTAAATACGCTTCAGAAACTATCTCTTATTGACAGCTCCATTTTTCATTTAATTGTTTTTTTATAGGACCCGAAAGACCAGGCCCGATCGTCATCACCTCCGTCACCGTTAATCGAATTTATATCTCGTGGTCCGAAGCAGCTGGTATTGCTGATCTCTATGAAATCACTTACATTCCTGATAACGGAATCGACAACTCTCCGACCTATGTAGCGGGAACTGAATACACACTTACTGGTCTGACACCCGTCACTGAGTATAGTATCGCCATTAAAACGACTGCCGGTCAACTGCTAAGTGAAGCTCGACAAACAAACGTGTACACTAGTAAGTTCTGATTCTCTAATCATAAAGCATGAAGTTTGATGGTAGGGAAAATATTTTTTTGGCTCTACAGGTGATCAATAATCAATAATCGACAATTATCTAATAAAAGAAGATATATGCTCGCTTCCCAGTTCCAACACCACCACAGAGTATCACAGTCGACCAAGATGACATTGGTCCTACCTATGCAAGGGTGTCATGGCAACCATCTACAGGCGATGTGGATGAGTACGTCATCACGTACAGCCCGTACATAACGGCCTCGGGGCCTTGGATATCGGCGTCGCCATTAGAAACGTCCAAAGATATTGTTGGTTTGGTGAATGAACCAACGTATACATTTACTATCATGGCGTACAGTGGAGGTCTACAAAGTGCACCAGTTACGTCAATGGCAGTGAATTTAAGTAAGATATACAATTGTCAAATACAAAATTATATTAATAATATATACGTAAGGTGATAATTTAACAATTCAACACAATGAAAATCTAAATTGAACCAATAACTCTAAATCACTGGAATAAATGAATCGGTATATTGAGGGATACACAAAATAATTTGACTAGTATTAGTCAACCCACGTAGATGAAGTGAATTATTTTCTATCTAGAGGAACTAACACTCTTGGTGATAGATGTGCATGATACTAACGTTAATCTACTAGGCAATAAACTTATGTTGATATATTTTTTATCATATGCACATGTAGGACCATACGGACCTGGTCCAATCCGTGTGGTTGAGGTGACCAGAACA